TCAAGATGCTACTAGCCAATGCAGGGCAAGAGCTGGAGTTGAAGAGAAGTGAGGAAAAGCTGAAATGAAAGAGGTGGAAGAGCACAGAAGATGGAATAGAAGTTGAGTAGAGATAACTAAAGAGAGTCAGAAACAACAGTAGCAGCAGGAAGAGCAAGAGAGTCAACTGAAACTCAAGGTCTCCTAAAGAGATTTTTGAGGCCAGAAAGAAATTTTAAAGATAGCCTGTTATTAGGGCTAAAAGCATACTGATGTGGCAGAGATTATTAAGGCATTCTTTTCCATATTGATGAAATCAAATTTCAGAGGAATTGCAGGCTTAAATCAAGAACACCAACCACTACACAAAGAAAACTTATTTACATAATACAAGAGGTGAGAGTAACATTGTTTAGTGGGTGCAAGATAGGCTGTGTGGCATTTAAGAACTCTGTTCTCTTAAAAATAATAAATAAAAACTTCTAAAAAGGAATGCTTAAGATGTTCATGAGGACCGGCCAGGAAGGTCCTCTCTCAGCATCTACTGCCTCAGTGGGTTCTCTCACTCTGTATAATGTGTTCTCATTTTTACTACCTAGAGTGGGTGGCATATAAATTAAATAAATAAATAAATTAAATAAATAAATAAATAAATAAAATATCAAAAAGCAATCAAAAAGGAAGCACATGCTAAAAGGTGTATCTTTCATGAAATCTAAACACACTCTGAAGTGATGAATAGTAAAACCGAAGCAAAATAATTAACCTCCACATGCTTATGAAGTGAATATATCAATGAGGTTTCTAAAAATAATAATACGTGGCAAAAAGCCTCAAATATTTTGCATGGGAAAACAGGGGAGGGGGGGAACCCAGGTTTATTAGATTACAATTTTTAAAATGCATTTTTGCATAACCATTAAATATTTGCAGCCTTGAGACCACGAAGGGAAAGAAAGTGTCTTAAGCCCTTGAGTTCTGTACTGAATGTTAATGCATTTGTATATGATAGATTTAATACAAGAACTCCGAGTAAATGCCATTCAGCAGCTGCACTCTAGGCCTATAAATCGCTCCTGGTGCTGCCAAATCCATACAGAGGAAGAACAGCTGTATAATTTACAACGTCAGCATTCGTCAAGAATACAGGTCCTTCTTTTTCAGTCTAAGAGAGCAGAGTCCTCAAAGAAAAAATAAAATAAAAGCAACCATCTTTGTAAAATGCCTGTTTGTATAAATATATTATTTGGCTTTCAAATTATAGTTTAAGCTGTGCATCATCCTTTTTAGCCCTCACCAGATTGAAGTGAAATTTAAAAAACATAAACTCCATGCCTGTTTTAATGTACAATTTTTATATGTATAAATTAACTACCAATTGCTTTATCATACTTTGTCAGAGTTTCACTCCAGTCAAATTTTTTGTTTGCACACACACAGTTTCAGACTGCACCAAAACAATGAGCTAATAGGTAAAGCAGAGATTTGATGGCAGTTTCTTTCAACCTATTCTCCATCCATTATTTCACAGACAGCCCTACATCACATACTGTGTTCTCATAAATCAGCTGTCCCAACATTTGAGAATTAAAGTTCACCTCTAAATTACATGCTTCTACTATATCTGAATTATTCAAGCAGCTACTCCCATATATTCCTATCCCTAAACTATCACTCTTTCTATTTACACCCAAGGTCTGTTCCTGTTTCTTTCTGGGAAAATCCCCATCTCCCACTTCTTTCTCTTTATACGCTAGGGGCACTTCCTAAGCTGAATCCCATCTCTTAGTTACTTTCTTTTTCTGTTTGTACATTGTACAGTACCAATCCACTTTCAAGTTCTGTCTTTATAAAGGCTGACAGGTCTCAAAGTCAACCTAGGGAATTGTTCATTGCAATTCAGTGGATAAGTTGTTACAGGATCAGGATTTAGTCAAGCAACATGTAACAAAGGAACACAGCTGAGTTAATTGTGACAGCTGTGTGACAATCAATTTGATTGGTTCAACTAAGAATAAAACTAGCCAAGCTTACAGACACAAACTGTTGGGTAGTTTGTTGTGTTGCTGGTGATCGTGTTGTTGAGAGCTGTATATACTGCATCGCTGGATGAAGACTTGCCATATTGCAAGAAGAAGGTCCTGGAGGAAGACTATCTCCGTGGTGAGAGGAGAAGACTTTGTGGATGCTGGACTATTTACATTGGTAACAATCTTTGGTTACTGAAACTGTAATTTAATATTGCAAACTGAAGAATTACTGTGAATGACCAGGACTGTATAAAGACCAAGAGAAGCTGTATTTACCCCTGTATATATGGACTTTAATGTAAATAATACTATCAACACTACAACAGTGTCTGTTTGGTTTCATCTCTGAGCAGTTCATTTCACAATTACGCCCCCTGGCCAGATTGAAGTGAAATTTAAAAAACATAAACTCCATGCCTGTTTTAATGTACAATTTTTATATGTATAAATTAACTACCAATTGCTTTATCATACTTTGTCAGAGTTTCACTCCAGTCAAATTTTTTGTTTGCACACACACAGTTTCAGACTGCACCAAAACAATGAGCTAATAGGTAAAGCAGAGATTTGATGGCAGTTTCTTTCAACCTATTCTCCATCCATTATTTCACAGACAGCCCTACATCACATACTGTGTTCTCATAAATCAGCTGTCCCAACATTTGAGAATTAAAGTTCACCTCTAAATTACATGCTTCTACTATATCTGAATTATTCAAGCAGCTACTCCCATATATTCCTATCCCTAAACTATCACTCTTTCTATTTACACCCAAGGTCTGTTCCTGTTTCTTTCTGGGAAAATCCCCATCTCCCACTTCTTTCTCTTTATACGCTAGGGGCACTTCCTAAGCTGAATCCCATCTCTTAGTTACTTTCTTTTTCTGTTTGTACATTGTACAGTACCAATCCACTTTCAAGTTCTGTCTTTATAAAGGCAGTGGAAGTATTCCCACTTCTCTGAATCTAAAGTGTCTCTTCCTTTTAGATCTTATTGTCAGCTCTGCTAAATAGAATAAAGGAGCATATCATAGCCTTAACTTCAGGCAGCAAAATGTTTTGAGTTTCCCCTGAGGAAATCCCCATTTTTTTCTGCAATAGGAGAAGTGAATGCTGAATGTTTCTTGTCTCTAGACATGGGGATGATTTTTTTTAAAAAGAGGGAAGGCTAACTTTTCCTCTCTTCCTATGGCTTTCCCATTCTGCCTACCGACCCGTCAATCAGCTGATCAGCGAGCCGATAGGCATATCCCCCCACAGCCCATCCTCAATCCCCTTCCTCTCCCTACCTTAGCTGTCATCCCCACCACTGCCCCACCACCCATACCTGATTGGGAGGGGGGTTTTGTTGTTTGTTGCTTTTGGTTTGGTTTGGTTTTGCTATACAGTAGAAGTGCAGGAGAAACAGAAAGTGGAATGCTTTATCAGTGTATCGTCAAGACCAGAGATGGGGGTATTTGTATACGAATATCCCCCCACAGGTGCAGATAACGAGGGTCCAGCCTCCTCGGGCCAGACCAACGCTCACAACTCCGCTGCTGCCGCCAGCTCTGCATCGCTCCGTTGCTCACGATAGATTAGCCAGTCCTGGCAGAAGGCGGGATGACGAGCCTCTCTGCCAGGTCACAGAGTGGCTAATCCATTGTGGACAACGGAGCGATAGGAAGGCTCCAGGGAGATCATGGCAGCGACAAAATCAGGAGTGGTTCGTCTGGCCCCAGAGGGCTGGACCCTCGTTATCTGCACCTGTGGGAGGATATTCATATTCAAATACAAATAAGAATACCCTCATATCTAGTCAAGACCAACAAGGTGTTTGCCAAAATAGGAAAACGAGGACATCTGAAATAAGATTGTAAGCAAAACACTCACAAATAAGAACACCTAATTAAAAACGAAGCCATTTTCCTTTCAGTGGACAATGTAAAATATTTTCTATAAATCTATGCTATAATCACTAAAAGACCAGCTATATTCTTGATGTGTTTCCCCCCTCCCCTTTTTGGTCTATTTTATCTAAATTGGTATATTGGCTTGTTTTTAGGCTTCATGTTTTAGTCTTATAGCCAATGTCACAGTAACAGACTGAAATGCCCTCCTCATGCATTGCACTAGGATTACACCCTTGCACAAACAGATGCACAAACAGCTGCACATTCATTTGCACAAATGCTTGCCCAAATTTGTAGTAAATACTATCAATGTGCTGATTCTGAAAATACGTATCTGCTAGCACAATTGATCTTGTGCTAGCACAAAGACATTGTGAGATACAGGCCCTTGTTTTCTAGATGGAATGGAATTATTTTGGTATCATTTTACCTTCCCAGTTATTTAGGTAAGCTGCCGTGGGTATTGGAAACAGGCATATAAATTAGAAATGGGATATTTGTGTTCATCTCCTGGGGGAGACGAATATGAGTATCACCACCATAGGTGATCAGGCCCATTTGACCCTTCCCCCCCCCCAAGAACCTGCAATGCAGGTGGGAAGTGGATGGCCCAGTTCTGGGGAGGGAGAGTCAAATGGGCCTGGCAACCGGTGGTGGCAATGTTCGTATTTGTCTCCCCCAGGAGATGAATACAAATATCCCATCTCTAATATAAATATTGAAACTAAGTAAATACAAATTCAGGTAAAATAACTCCTGGATAACTCAGGCTTGTTATACCGGTGCATTATATTGCAAATGCAACACAATACATTTAATGCTACATGACATCTGCTTCTGTATTTCAAAGCATCCTCAGGAGGCTGCTTGAAGGTGAGGAAAGGATGTTGACCCTTCCCTGCCATCATCCCCTTAAGACCCCCCCCCCCCAAATTGGCTTCTCTTCCACAGTGTTCCAGACCCACCAGAGAGAGAACAAGTCATTTGCTATCAGAGGAGACGGATGACATAGTGCCCCTCCCCCACAGACTGAATCAGTCTCTATACATGTGATGTGATAATGTCCCCTACCATACCTATAGCAACAGGCTAACTCAGGGAGCACAGGACAAGTTGTGCAGCATACACAGCTGTATCCTGCCTCCCCCAAAGTGGGGAAATTCTGGTGCCTTAGGAGGAACCGACAGAGATTTCTGCTGTTGCCCCCTAAAAGCTGCTGCCAGAGGCAGTTGCTTTGCTCTGCCTGGAGAGGAAAGGTACTGGGAATGGGGACACCATGGAAAGATAGATGGTGAAATTGCTCTGGAAGCAAGAAGGAGATACTGTATTAAGGTACTATTACACACTGCCGCAATCCATAGCCTAGTCATAAGAGAACATTGTAAAGTGTAATGTTACTGTTTGGGACTCTTTTCTCTCCATCTCCTTTGTAGGGGGAAAAAAGCGAAAAAGCCACAAACACTACTTATCTCTACTATTGCTTCTACCTTCCACGGCATTTAATTACTCCCTTCTAAAAGCCTCAAAAAGATAGAAAGACAAATAATTCCCTGTTTTGTACTAACTCTAGTAAATTGACTACAAATCACAACTATTTTATTGCTACCGAATAGCCACTGTGAAGGAAAAAAATGTCTATTGAAAGTACTCTAGCCAATATAAAAGAAATATCCTCTTCCGTATGTTGGTAAATCTAGATTTTTACAGTGGTTAAAGTGGTTCTGAAAAACTTCTTCTGAGTGAAGGTCCCATTAATAGTAACTGTGCCCTAGTGCTGAAAGAAAATACATTAAATTGCAGAATCTTCAGTAAATTTATTTGAAACTCAAATATAATATACATTAACTACAAGGTTTTGAACAAGAAGTAGAACTGTTCTGAAAATGTCTTTTATAACTGTTAATTAATTCGCCATCATGAATGATCCCAGTACAGTACTTAGCTTGAGTAAGACCCAGAGTACATCAGATATCATTATTCCAAGTAATTGTTTTTAAAATGAAATTTGGAATGTGACCAAAAAAAAGTCTTAATTTGTGCCTTACTTCTTTCTTAATTTGGTCTCAACGGACTACAGGGATTATCTGTGCCTGTGTAATTTTAAAATAAAATATCTGAGCCCATTCTAAAGTAAGTATACACTTAACATGTTAAAGGGAAAAGTCATGCACATTTCAGTCTCTGTAATAGGAATAAGAAGTGTACTTGTTTGAAATTAAAGATGAGCTTGATGCTTGCCAAACAAGCATCATCTGAGCAGGACTGCAACCACTAGGTCAGTGATGGCGAACCTTTTTGAGCCCGAGTCCCCAAACTGAAAACAACAGCAACCCAGCAGGCAGCAGGTGGTGGGTGGCAGCGGAAGTGGTGGCAGAAGGAGGAATCCCGAGCATAGAGGTGCCTCCAAACCCCACTCCGGATCCACCTCCAGTCATTCCCAAACTTGCCACTGCCTATAGATCTGCTGGCCCATCGCTGCCTGCGCCAGCTGCTCCAGATCCTGGCCCACCACCTGTCAGGGCGCTAGAACTACAGCTGTAGCCGCCTCCTCAGGTTTGGCTGTCAGGAGTAGGATCCAGCAATTTAGGGCTTACATGCCCACATAGAGGGCTCTGCGTGTCAGCTGTGGCACGCATGCCATAGGTTCGCCATTGCTGCACTACGTGCCTCGCAAGATGATTTTAATTCGTTCCATGGAAATTGCTGTCTTGCAAAAACATCATCTTGTGAAACCCAGTTTCCCATTAGAATGCATTGAAATCCATTTAATGCATTCCAATTGGGAAAAAATATCACTGTCTTGTAAAAAAACAAACACAGTTCCCCATACCATCTTGGTGAAAAGCAATCCCCTCACCTGCACTGCCTTTGAAAATTCAAGGGGCTTCAGATGGCCTTACCCCTATTTCTCTCTCCAGCAACAAAGAAAAAGAATAAAAGGAGTCAAAGCAGCCTCCTGGCACCTGACAATGGTAACTCCGTTTGCCCTGATTATTTACTACAGAGAAAAAATAGAGAAATAATGGAATATAAAACATTATCAGGACTTGTTGCTCTTGAAATAGGTCCTGATGAGAAAAAATAGAAATAAAAAGGAATTTAGAACAAGGTTAATCACAAGTGCAATCTCTCATTAACATAAATTATGCAGTTGAGCTCCCCACATTTGGGGAAATCACAGGGATCAGCAGCACATCCCAAGTGCAATGGATGAACCTCCCCCTGAGAAAACCATTTTTATGACATGGTATTTCTCTTGCAAGGTATGAGTTGGAATAGCCCTTGCATCTCCTAGCCCATTGTGTCCCCTAACCCCCCAAGGCATGGTGACCCCCTGGCTGCACTTCCCACTCAGTACAGGGCTGCACAGCCCCAGTCCTGCCAGAGGCCAAGAGAGCTCCTCAGTGTTTTGGGGTGCCCTGCTGGACCCCAATCAGGGGCTAAGTGTTCCTCCCACAATCCTATAGTGCACAGGTATTAGCATATGCTATTACCTGTGCACTAGAGAATTGTGGGAGGAACACCTAGCTAATGCTAGGTGTTCTGCCCACAATTAACATATGCTAATACCTGTGCACTAGAGGATTGTGGGAGAAACACTTAGCCCCAACTGGACAGTATCTGCAAAGCAACCAACATGAATTTGACCCAACTCCGGGAGGCAGTGGAAGACAGGAGGGCCTGGCGTGCTCTGGTCCATGGGGTCATGAAGAGTCGGACACAACTAAACGACTAAACAACAATGACGATCCTCAGCCAAATAGAAACTTGTAGTTTCAAAGAAAGAGAGGGGGAGGTACTGTATATGTATAATACCTGAGCTTCTTTGTTTGAAGAACTTGGGTATGATATCCAATGAACAGCTTCCTCGGCTGTAATTTTAAAACCATACCTCCAGTGCAGCCTGCATCTTTCTTAACTGGCAAAATCCATCTGCCATTAACTTTTGGGACTCTTTTAAATTCTTTGCACTAATGATAAGATGCAAGCCTGACGAAGGGGCCCTGATCCATGAAAGCTAGCAGGTTCACCTTGACAATTTTTGTCCAGTCATGTTTGACTCTAGGAGGTGGTGCTCATCCCTGTTTCCAAGCCATAGAGCCAGCATTTTGTCTGAAGACAATCTTCCGTGGTCACATGGCCAGTGCAACTAGACACGGAATGCTGTTACCTTCACACCGAGGTGGTTCCTATTTATCTACTTGCATTTGCATGCTTTCGAACCGCTAGGTTGGCGGGAGCTGGGACAAGCAACGGGCGCTCACTCTGTCGCGTGGATTCGATCTTAGAACTGCTGGTCTTCTGTGGCAGCGCCACCACATCCACCACGTATAGTGGTCTATAAAATATCACTTTCTCTTACATTCGTATTGTTTAATGACAATACGGCTCTCTTTTATTTCAGCATATGCTAAGTAAGGAGTCTTAATTTATCTCCAGTGATATTCATTACAGTACGAACAATGTTTGCTATGGGAAGCTAATTAAATGCCAAATCTCTTTCTAAGAAAGACCATGTATCTAAAATGTCATTTCTGTCAAACTGACACTTGAAGGTTTCATGTTCTCATCAGTTTCCTTATTCTTTCTTGAAGTTCAAATTGTGTATCAACTTGCAACACCCCCCTCACCATTTTGTTAATGGCAGAATCTTCAGAACCTAAGATTCTGGCATCTTAACCCTTCCCCTCTGAAATATATACAATTTAAATTTCAGATGGAGATTTTTAAGCTTCTTGTCTTGCACAACAAATATGATTATTTGAGATAAAATTAATTCTTCCCTGCCATTGCCCCAAAAATCTCAAGGACTACTTGCTATTGGCCAGACTAATACAAGACTCTAGTCTGTAATTTTAAACTAAGCAAACCCTATTATCTCACAAATGCTATATTACTTATAAAAATAGATTCTGAGTATCATTCAGAGTTACTGAGTCAGTTCCTTATATAAATATTTAATACTAGTAGTAATATAAAGTTACTTTCGAAACACAGAGCATGCTGCAGATTATTTTCTAGCTATGGCAGAGAAGTTCACTGTGTCCTGTATTAGAAATCAGATAACAGAGTTGAAATAAGCAAATACATTATTATAATCTCTGGATCAGAACATTTATAAGTATAATGACTAAATATAATAGTGTGAAGGAGAGAAAGAGAGTGAGCCGTCCTCCACAGTCAGAGGAGTGGAAGGAGGAACTGAGTGTGTGGAGGGCATTTTAATGTGGAGGTTGAGCCGCATGATAGGGAGGTGCAGAAGCCTAGAGAAGTGTGTTTGGCTGACGAGAGGGGGGGAGGAGCTTGATTTGATTATATGGGAAGATATAAATGAGGACGAAAATGCGGGAAGTTTTAAAGTTGTGAGAAGTGAGCCGGCTGATAAGAAAGATAGATCAGCGCAGACGGAATGGATTATGGGCCAGGAGAGTTTCCTCAAGCTGCTTAAAGAATTCCCGAACTTACAAGTAGATGGAGGATTACTGCCGGGACCTCCTGATTTCTTCACACGTGGGCAAGAGGTAGATCCCTTGGAATGGACTGTGGTGGTTTACCCCCGCAATCAGCGTGGGGGAAGGAGGGTGATCCGTCCCAGTCCCTCTTTACTCCAGAGTCAGCGGGGGGGGGACTGGGCGAGACACCCCTGTTGTGGGACGGTTTGTGCTGTCAGAACCACACCGATCCGGCCTGTGACCGACCGGGAGCGATTTGGGCCAGCCCCCCAAGAAGAAGAAAAGATAAAGAAATGAACACACGAGTTTGGAGTTATACGTTGTTACCAGAGTTAAGTTTAATGGACCCATTTGAGCCAGCTGAGTTGAGTTTATTTACTAATAAAACAGATTCTGTTAGAAAAGAAGTACAGCCTCCTGTCCTTTTCCCTGCCCTGACCATGGAACCAACCATGGCAGAACCAACACGTATTCACAAATAGCTAAATCGATTTTCCTGCGAGTGGAGCTTTGAGAACTTTCCTCTCCCTCTTCTGCACCCTTGCATACCATCCAAAAACTGATTCCAGAGGATTTCCAGGCCCTTGAGAACTGGTCTTGGGGGTGCAGGGGAGGGGGCAACTCCCAGGTTCTCCCCCATTGGTTTTGCAGGAATTTCCTGTGTCTTGTGTTGCACAATCTGGGGGCCCTGGGCTATTTCAGGGAACTCTGCAGTTATTAGTATCAACCATGCCTCAGTCTCTGCTACGCAATCCTTAGCCCTGTTCTGCCAAGTACCATCTCCCTCCTATATGGCCTGCTAGAGGTGTCTCTGCCAGCCTTCCCCTACCATTTTAATTTAACAGTGTCAATCCAGAAGACTTACAGACCCTCTGAAATTCATGAGAGGAGCTCAAGGAGAAATCCTTCAAGTGAGCTGTCTTTCGGATCGTATGTAAATTGTCCATCACCTCATCCCTTTTTTCATTCAATAGGCCAACGCCATCAAACAGGAGTTCTTCAATACGGGACTTAGCATCGTCATTGATTCCCGCTTAGCGCAGCCAAGTGAGAGCAATAGCTGATGTCATGGCCTTGGCCATATGACAGGACACCAAATGTTGTTGTTTAGCCAGCGTCATCACTTCCAGGTGAGTGTTGAGAGCAGCAGCCCTGGTTTCTTCAGGAGAGGCTTGAAAAACTGGTAAAACCTTGTTCCCTAACTGCCTCTGATAGGTGCTCATGGCTGCCTGGTAGTTAGAAACTCTCATTACAAAAGAAGCCACAGAGTAGAGGCGATGGCCTAATACATCCAGTTTGTGGCCTTCTCTGATTCTATGTAAGACAGGATCTGATACTGGTGATAACTTCTCAGCCTCCAACAATGTAGCCACATAAGAATGAATATCCTTAGAAAAATTATGTAAGGCAGAGGTGTCCAACCTTTCACCTTCCCTGGGTCACATTAGAAGATAAAAACTTCGTTTGGGTCGCACATACATTTGGTTTGGGTCACATGGGGGGGCAGCCCTAGCCGTCCTCCTCAGCCCCACGCGCACTTACCGGCAGCTGCGATCTCAAGACAGCAGAGGCTGCCAGCTTCGACTCCGGCGGCTTTATGGGGCCGGGAGGGGGTCCACCTATTGACGGGGACAGCGCAATGCAGTCACGCAGCCCCCAGAAGCCACAGAGTAGAGGCGATGGCCTAATACATCCAGTTTGTGGCCTTCTCTGATTCTATGTAAGACAGGATCTGATACTGGTGATAACTTCTCAGCCTCCAACAATGTAGCCACATAAGAATGAATATCCTTAGAAGAAAAAAATTATGTAAGGCAGAGGTGTCCAACCTTTCACCTTCCCTGGGTCACATTAGAAGATAAAAACTTCGTTTGGGTCGCACATACATTTGGTTTGGGTCACATGGGGGGGCAGCCCTAGCCGTCCTCCTCAGCCCCACGCGCACTTACCGGCAGCTGCGATCTCAAGACAGCAGAGGCTGCCAGCTTCGACTCCGGCGGCTTTATGGGGCCGGGAGGGGGTCCACCTATTGACGGGGACAGCGCAATGCAGTCACGCAGCCCCCCTGTCTCCGCCCCTCCCACTCCTTCCTTCCTTCCCTCTCTCCCCCTCCACTGTTGTGACATGCCCCGGCCACATTCCGGCCGCAAGCACCGGCAGTGTAACTACTGGTGATAACTTCTCAGCCTCCAACAATGTAGCCACATAAGAATGAATATCCTTAGAAGAAAAACAATTATGTAAGGTCTCCAAAAAGAAGAAAAAAATTATGTAAGGTCTCCAAAAAGAATCTAGTAAAAACCTCAGTGGCAATCAGGTCACAGGAGATAAGCTGGTATTATACTCCTGATGCTAGGGTGAGAATGGCCAAGGCAGCAAGGCCAAGGGCAGCATCACATAGGAAACAGAAATGGGTGGTGCAGTTACTGAAGTTGCACCTAATACAGGTTAGGATGTGAGCACCATCAGTGTTGTAGTCCCCGGTTCCAAAGGAAGTCAGTGGCTCTTCAGATAACCTTTAAACAGGAAAGTGGTGGAGAAATAATTGTTCCAAAGGACAAGAGAAGTTCAGAAGGTCACCCATAGGAATTAACAATGGAGGCCTCACCAGTCCATAATCTGTTCAGAAGTGAAAGAGATCAACTGTTACAGTATCAAGCAGAGTGAAACTAGATTGGATAGTTGTTGTCCCAGCAGCATCAATGCCAAGGTCAATGAGACAAACACTTTCAACACTGATGTGATATCTGTCCTCAATATGAGGGAGAGCAAGAGGCTGGGAAGCTACTATATATGCACCATGCACCACATTCAGCAGAGGGCTCGTCACTCTTATTTCTTATTCAGAGAAAGACCCCAAATGTACTACGGGGTCCTTGGAGTCATGAGCAGATACCACATGGTATTTTGCTAGCATTGTCTGGAGTCATGACCAGATACCACATGGTATTTTGCTAGCATTGGGAGAAATAGCAGCAGAAAGTCACATAAAGGTGTGCAGCAGCAGCTACCACACCTGTGGTAGTGAAACTGCATGTACTTGTTCCATCAGTGGTGTATGATACTCTTTCTCAGGTTTCTTTGCCTTCTTCTTAGTCTCTTTTCTTTAGACTTCTATGACACCAAACATCCAAAAAACTTTTTATAGCTCAGCGCATCTACTGACTTTGACAAAGTAAAAGCTTTGACTACAGAAGTGGTCTTAGCAAGAGATAAGAATGAGGCCAACAGCAACGTCTTCAAGGCAGTAGACCTTAGAAATACCTGAAAAATTGAGTTTTATCAAGAGCAACCTGGTTGGTGGCCCTGAGAAATGTCTGGCTGAACCAGCTGGATTTCAGCCAAACCAAAACTATGTTGAACCAAGATATAGCTCTTCCAACTTTTCCCCCCAATTCTGAAGGGTCGACCTTTTCTGCACAGTCAAAGCAGTTTTAAACAAAGCTGTAGTAGTCGTACAGCTTCTCGAAGAGTCCAACAGTTCAAACAGCAATGAAAAACCTCAGAACTAGTTTCAACTACTTACAAACAGAAGAAACACTACTCAGCAGAAGAAACATTTTCAAACGGAAGAGAATGTTCTGACTGTTGCTCTTGCAGGGGATGAAAAGAACTGAATGACTTCTGCTGAGTCACGCTTAAAGAAATGAGGTGTGGGAAGTAGATATACTCAGCAGATATACTCTGGCTGTGGCTCTGTACAGATGCAAAATTCCTTATGTGTTAACTCACAAAGAACAAAATTGTGAATCTAAATGCTTCTTGATCTCACCCCTTTCTACAGAATTTTCTGATTTTTCTTTTCAACTCCCCTGGGATTTCCTGGTCAGCAAAATGTCTTCTGTTTCTTCCCAAGAAACCTTGCAAATTATTCCTCAGATACTCCTCAAGAACATACGCCCTTCTCTGCAGGATTCCTTACCATACTTTTTGTCAATGTCAGGCTCCTAGAATAACTAACACCGCCACTTAAAACTGACCAGTTTAACAAGAAATTAAAACTTGACAGGAGCAACCTCCCTTGTAGAGCAGATAGAGCATGTGACTAAACAGTAAGTAAAATGTGAATTCATTTGCTGAAATCAAACCAGGAAATTTGGGTCTGTTTAAGTAGCCACGCAGATAGGGAAAAGGCTTGCTACTATCTCAAGAAGGCTTTCCTTCCTCAACTGCTCAATTTCCTCATCTTATCATTTTTTAAAAGAAAACTCTTGTTGGTGGATAAAAAAATACAGGAGCTCTGCCCATAAGGAGATTCTATTTTAAAGAAGAAGAGTCTTGGGAGAGAGGGTTTTTGCTTTGTTTTATTTTGTTTGAGAGAGTTTATTTCCTGCTTTTTAAATCAATGTGGTTGCCTCTGAACACAACTATTTAAAACTAACCATTGTAAAAGACTGAAATTGAAAAGAGCAGCAAAAATCCTGCAGTGGAAAATACTTCAGGCACAAGCAGTGTGAGACTGTCAAAATGAATCTTGTGCAAGAAATCAGCAAGCAGGTGGAAGAAAAAACTGTGTTTAGGATTTCCCTGAGTGATTCCTTGACAAGGTGGAATGTCAAAATTTCCTGGGATTAAAAAAAATCCCTGCAATTTTTACATCCTTAATGGAGACCATTAAGAATAAATATATTTTACTGTTTAAAACTTTATTGCAAAATTACACAAGTTATTTTCTTTTCATTTCACTATTCTGTACCTGTGTGGATACTACCATTATTGATTAGTTGCCAGGTGGCACAGGATGTAATCATAGCTAGATGGAGTCAGCCATTTCCTGTTCTGTTCTTGTTTAAATCGAGATAGAGACAATAGAGGATCAAGAATCAAAAGTGGAGATATAGAGACAATAGAGGATCAAGAATCAAAATATATTGGCTTTTATTGCTTTTTCCGGATCCCAGTAAGTCTCGGGGCTGCACAAGATGAAACTTAATGCTTAATAAACCCAGTTTAAGAAACTACAGATTCTTCCTTGCCATTACTTCTTAAGACAACATGACTTTAATATCAATTCATTTTCCCCACTCCCTTTTTTTAAACAGCCTAGGCAAAGAAGAGTTTTGAACATAAGCTTGTTGTGCCTTTTTGGTCAGCCTAATAAATGCTGGCCACAATATGGATTTTAGCATTTGTCTTCTGGGGGATAACTGCTACTTCTGCATTTGCTAAAGTTATGGTGCAGCTTCCAGACTGGTCATAAGGCTCCAGCAGAGGAGGAGGTACACTTTAGAGGAGTAGGAGCTTTATACTAGATATACTGTACACCTTTGCGATAATCTGGAATAAATGTATTCACTGTGGGTTAGTTACAAACAGACACAAACCTGCCTGCAACACAAGCCACTTTAAATCATACTATTCCATCCTGTGCCTCTTTTCTGTTTCTGCTAGTGGCAGCTCACTCTTTCACTGCCATCGCCTTTCTGCTCCCCATCATCCACCTCACTTCACCCTGCGCCACAGCCTTTTCTTCTGAGTATATGTAAAAGTTGGAGCAGAAAAGTGCAGATTGGGCACCACTTTCAAACCACAGTAGGGTTTGGTATCACGCGCATGTTGCTGAAGATGCCATGGGGTTTGTGTGTAGTTTTGGCCTCAAGGGCCCAGCCAGTCTTCAACCACTGGAGCAGAAAAGTGCAATTGGGCACCACTTTCAAACCACAATAGGGTTTTGTATCACGCACATGTTGCTGCAGATGCCATGTGGTTTGTGTGTAGTTCTGGCCTCAAGGGCCCAGCCAGTCTTCAACCCCATGAATTCAAGGTGAAAATATTTTAAACTAAGTTGCAAATTATGGCTGCAAATGTTCACAGACATTTATTTCCCCATTTCTATGTGCCTTTCCCCAAAAAACTTTTTAGGTTTCTCAGGGCCTATTAAAAAGCACTGTTAGAACAAAACAAACTATATTCTAAAGAGCATATTGCAGGCATCTAGAACCAAAACAGTGTCTTGCTATAGTCTGAGAGACAGACAGATTTGTACGTCCCTATTGCTGGCTAGATAGCTCAGTGGTAGAAGTTGGGAGTTCAATTCTCCACTGTGCCTCCTGCAAGTAGAGCCAGCCCCCATCACCTTGGGCAAGCTGCACAATTCCAGGGTGACCCCAGATGAAAGGAATGGTACACCACTACTGAGTATTCTCTATATGGAAAATTGTGACAAGGGTCACCGTAAGTCTGAATTGATTTGATGACATATCATCATCATCATCGAAAATCGTGACAAGGGTCACCTTAAGTTCGAATTGATTTGATGACACATCATCATCATCATCATGTACCATGACATCTCCATCATCATCATCATCATCATCATCATCACTATTTTAACACTTTAAAAGAACTATCAGAAGGGGGGGGGAGGGATTGGTCCAAGAGGTAAATAACCATTATAATCAGAAGCTGAAGATTAAAACAACTGTTACAGCAAGTTCTTCTTTTTTATAAATAGAGACAACTTCATTGAAGAAATTATAATTCACAGTCTTCCTCACAAACATGTTCTGGCTTTTTCAGGGAAAATTAATGAGATTCACCCAGCAGTTTGAGCAGCACTTTGGACATTACCAACCAGTTGTAAATATGGTAACAGAAGCAGTGAGTTGTTCAGAACTGCTACATTCTGAAATCAATGGATAGTGACCAGATGACCTTGGAAACACTAGAGAACATATTACATTCATCACAGTATGGATCTGGGTAACATTAAGGGTTATATGTTTCATAATTTAATAGAATTAGACCAGAGTGGGCAGCCTCCAGAGGCCTGAAACCTGCATATATTCACCTGGGAACTTGGAGGCCAGAAACTCTCCTCAAAATATGTTTTGTTTTTAAAAACCCCATTTCCTTTACTACAAAGTCCTCTTCACAATCTCTAGTGACCAAACATATTTATGGGGGGGGGGTTTAGATGTGCTGGAGTAATACATGGCAAAATTGCATCCCCACCCCCAGGGCACACGTATCTTTTAAGAAAAACTTTTAAACGGGTGTGTGGAAGAGCTAAAAGTGTGCAGGGTCACATTTGGGATCTTGGAGATACACATGCAGACTTAGGGCCACATGTTTCCTCCTCCTGAATTAGATATATCCACTCTTAAGTATGGCAGTTTTATAGAGGAAATGAAATCTGCATAATGATGTCATGCCAGAAATATTTAGGTTGTCCATACTTATTTATGATAAAGCATTGTTCAAGTTAGACATTTGAAGCTGGACTCTTCACATATTGAACACATCCCTTTCCCCTCCCCCCCAGAAAGTAATAAAACGAAAGTGACAGAGAGAGTATCCATTTGCAATTAGAGGCTAGGTAGCCAATATAGGCACACAGAAAGAGAAAAACATGGGTGGAATTAGACATTTAACGAGAGATACAACATTGTTAAGTCTCATTCTTGTCTCATCTCCAACAGAATGGAGTGGTGCAGTGTAAATACAGTACATGGTACCACAAGGCATGCATTGTGTCTAAGAACATCAGATTTTTTTAAAAAAAAAAAAATCCAGTTTATGACTATGGGATATTTCTTTTTAAAAAAAAAAACCAGTTTATGACTATGGGGTATTGTGCTTCTGTATCCATGATTCAGAATGTCAGGAAATGGTCCAATATTGCTGCGCAATATCATGCCCACACTGCAAGCAAAAAAAGAATGCCAAGCTTTACCTAGCAAAGGGTAGCCTGAATGTTGACAATGGCAGCACTCAAGATGGTCTAGGATACCCTACTGTGTTCACTACCATTCATGCTAGTTGAGAAACAGCCCTGACAATTGCTTTGTGTCTGGGTGAGAAGTACTTAACTGATGAAAAATTCATCTTCTGGTATATCTTTGGTATGTAATGCTTGGCATCCTATTTCCTGCTGGCAATGGGCCTTCTCTTGACATTTTGAATCGTGAATACAGAAGCACAATACCTCATAGTTATAAACCGGGGTGGGTGGGATGGTTGGTTGGTTGGTTTGAAGAATTGAATGTCCCGGCTTTTTAAAACAGAAGTTTAAGTATACATACATTGTGCACAAATTGCAACAGATAGAGGATCCCAGAAGATGAGGATCTGTACTACAGTTGCCGGGAGGGGGCAGAGAAAGAACAGCTGGTATGTGGCTATATTCCCTATATGCTAAAATATTTTGAAGGACTGTTTTTGGGTTTAATGAAATTGTGAAGCAAAGGTATATGTAAGTGCAACACATATAGTGGAAAAACACGTACACTCTTTAACCTCTCAGATAAACTAATGCTGCCATGCCCATTCCACATAATGCAAACTAGAAAGCTATCTTCCAATTTACAAATCCTTTCCTTGAGGAAGAAAAGCTATATGGGACCAAAAGCTCTACAAACATGTTGTTTTGTGTTTTTCAAAAGATGTCCTCTCACCTTTTAAAAAAAGGAAGAAGCTGGTAGATAGCAAAGCTTGTCACTCAAAATAAAGGTCAAAATCATCCATACTATGTGAAAGAAAGAGAAGAAAGTCAGGGTCAAAAATCAACTCATTTGAAATGTAGTGTTGGAGGTGATGTACAGATACCACAGACAGCCGGAACGGTAGAAAAGTGGGTGCTCAATCAAGTCAAGTTTGAATTCTCACTAGAGCAAAATGAATAAACTGAGGGTATCTCACCATGGCCATATAATGAAAATACAAAATTGATCAGACCTAATATGAGACAGATTGTCTCAATAAAGGAAGCCATAGTTTTTAGTTTGCAAGAACTGAAAAGAACTTACAGGAAAAGGCAATATTGCTAGGAAGGGGGGCAGTAGGAAGAGAGAACAACTTAACATAATATGCTCTTGGTTTGCAAGGTCTGAGCAGAGCTATTAATAACATGACTTTTTGGAGATCATTAACTCATAGTCAGCACACATCAGAAATGACTTGATGGCACTTAGCATTTTTGAGTTATTTTCTTACTTACCAGAAAACTGTATACGTAGTGACAAAATGGGTGCATGGCTGAACTGCGACAGAATACAGGAATCAAAGCTTTACTAACACTGAGTAAGACTATTCCCAGCCACAAAGCATAAAACAGTTATTTCACAGCTTAAACAAGTGAGCTGCTGAATATTTGTTCTCTATTCTTTTAAAAATATATTTTAAAATATTTTTACAAACAGACACAGAATCCGTTTCCCAGCACCAATGTCTGTTTGGCCAGGAAGGAGTTAAAAATCTCTCCTTCTGAGAGTCAGTGAATTGAGTCCTGACTGTACAGCGTCAAAAGTTCAGATTGTCCCAGACTCGGAGCTGATTTCTCCTACGAAAAATAGTGTCAGGTATACCGAGATAATATTTATTGAAAGAACTAAGTGCTGGGACAAACAGAACTGCTCTGTGCTTTTCTAATGCAGAAATCTTCTGGAATACTGTCACTCTATTATTTTCTTTAAAGCAAGCCTGGTTTGGTTTTGCATTTTTACTTTTCTTTTTTTAAAAAAACTGTATTTGTACTGTTTCTCCGACTTTTCATTGCCCTTCAAACATATCCCTTACTGGCCCATGAAGTTGCAACAAGGTATCTACTTTGGAATGCTCTTGCTAGAAAGCCTATTACACCTATGTTCAGTCTTACAACTAATTGGTTTGAAAGGGTATTTTTAAGTATAATTATTTTAAGTAACAGCATCTGCAGACTGATTTTTTTCAAGTAAAAAAAGTAGGTGGGATCAAACATTCTCTTTCAATATAAGTAAGATTAGCATTTTCAATTTGTATGGGCTATTTTAAATCTGGTGATGTTCAGGGTCACTTCTTTCTGCACGGAGAGTTGTTAAAACACTTTTACTTTTTAAAAAGCCATACCTCAAAACCCTTTGCCCAAACTTCCCTATATTTTACACAGAGCAATAGCAGACTGTCTGCTACAAATGTGCCAAATTTTATGGTGATCCAAAATCCAATTTCAAATATGTTATTTTTTGGTTGGGATGCCACGATTTTTAGAATTGCCTTGTAGAATGTTGAATCGGCTCTGCTACACACTAACCTAGATGCACTACTGTGCAGCTATGATGTCATGAGGTAGGCAAGGGAAGAACCACAAAGTGCCAGATCAATATCTCAGTGTCTAGTTCTACTCTAAAAGACACCAAAAGTGTAGCAAATTACATTTAAAAGGCTAGAAGCCAGTTTTCAGGATATACAAAGGCTGCTTGTGATCTATTATTTTTGATTAATGTTGAGAACACACTTTTAAAACCATACGTAATGGAATTTTCCACTCTTAAGGGTAGGAAAAAACACAATTTACAATCAAACTATAAATATTTTTTGCATCTGTGTTGGTACAATAGGATTTTAACATAAAATAAACACCTAAGGGATGCCAGTGGTGGCTTAATTCAAACCAAATTTATGTATGTATTTATGCCCACTTGGTTTAAAATATGAGATGGTACAAAGCTGTGAAAATAGATTTGCTGCATACTCATATATATGGATGCCTATGTCAGAAAGGTGACTCAGTCATCAGGAAAATTCTACAGTGTGAGCACACAGTAAACTTGCACTGCATACTGATTCAAACCAATCTAATAAAAATATGCACCGTGGCCAGAATCCTATTGGATATTTGAACATGCACAACCGCAATGTGAACAATGACTCACATGTCACCAACATACCTGAGTGTGCCAAACCACACTTGCTTCTCATACCCTGTCGATCAGCCACGATTGACTGCAGCTGTTTCTACAGTTCCTCTTGCCTGCATGTCAGTATCCAACAGGATTTTGCCAGTGGGAAGCCCATCAAGAGAAGCAAACACTTCACCATAAAACAAATATTTCATTACCAAATTTATTTCATACACAAGTATGTCGTAAAAATGCCAACACAAACTGAAGCATTCATACATCCGTGATGAGCCAAGGCTGGTTCATTTTGGTAGACGATAGCTGTGTAAATGCATTAAACATCAGATTCCTAACTTTTTCTTGGGAGTTTGTTTTATTTATTACATTTTTATACTACCCATTTAATGGCAAACCACTACTCTGGACGATTTACAAATGTGAAAAATGACATAGCAACACAACCCCCACCCAGCTCTAAATGATTGAAAAATAACCCCATAAAAAGCTAGGATGATGATGACAAAACCAAAGATAATCAAAGTACAATGTAACTAGATACTGATATAAGGTTAGGAGATCCTGAAAAGCTTCTCTAAAGAGTGATGTTTTTATGTGTATTCATTTGCCTTTAGAATATTAGGAGGGTAGGGGCCAGGTGCACCTTCCCCGGAAACACATTCCATAATAAGATGGCCACCACTGAGAAGGCCTGGTTCCTGATCACAGACTTCCAGGCCTCATTCATGGTGGCCATAACATCAAAGCTTGGGAAATGTGGATGGTATGGGTGGTAAATTGCAGGGAGTGTTATAACTAACTCCTAAATTATGAAGGGCTTTGTATTATACATTAACTCCTTGAATTTGGCACAGAGGCATACATATAGGCAGCCAGTGCAGACAGGCCAGGACCTAGGGGATATGGTCCTATCTCAAAGTCCCCCAAACCAGCCTAGCGTTTTGCACCTGTTGTGGCTTCCATACTGCTTTCAGCAGTAACTCCATGTACAGGGCATTGAAATAATCAGTCTTCAAGATTACAAACACATGAACTATTATCTAAGACAGGCTTGTCCAACCTG